TCCACTCACCTCAGCCTCCCAAAGGCGCGGGATTACAGGCTGTGCCACCGAGCCCGGCTGCTATTATTTCTTATACTCACATATAAGGAGCTCTATCAAGCTTCAAAAAAACAAAAACAAAAAAGGTAATACAAGGAATTTCCCTCCAATAATGTAAATACTTTCCAAAAACTGCTAGAATTGATAGAATGCAAATAGCTTCTTACTTCAATCACTTCCCAGTGGATTGGAGGATGACAAAGGCTGTCACATGCATTTGTATAGCTTCGCATAAAATACTAAAGTAACTGATAGACCATCAGTATACAAAAGAGAAAATCAGCAGGCAGCAGGCCTAGGCTGCTCTATTTGATACCATCCCGTGTAGTATGAAGTCAGGCAACTCTGCAAATACTGTCCCTGTTTAGGCACAAACCCTCTGAAATTGCCAACCAGTTGGCACCACTTTTTTTTTTTGAGTCGGAGTCTTACTCCATCGCCCAGGCTGGAGTGCAGTGGCACACCCATGGCTACCCCAGCGTCGACCCGCTGGGCTCCGACGATCCTTCCACCTCAGTCTTTTAAGTACCTGGAACTATAGGTGTGTGCTACCATGCCCAGTTAATTTTTTATTTATTGTAGAGACAAAGTCTTGCCTACTTCCCCAGACTGGTCTCAAGGTACCACTTTTAAGTACAAGAGCCTTTCCATGAGGTACTAATCCTCTGCAACCTCCCTACCCTACACCCACCAATCTGTTGTAAATTAACATTGTTGGGGTTTACATTGCATATCCTAAATTTACCCATCATAGTTTCTTAATGTCTCAGCGGTAGGAATGCTTATACCACTCATATTCTTTTCTTCTCTTTTTATGTATATGACTTCTTAAGGCATATTCAGCCTGAATGAGATAAACAAATAAACCTGGTCCTAAGAGACAAGCCCCAGGTTGCTCAGAAATGAACAGAACTGCTAGGTGAGAAGAAGCAAGCCAAAAGAACAAATCAGGAAGTCCCAGTGAACTAGAAACTTCCTGTGTTTGTAACTACATAAATGGAATCAATTCCAAAATTTTTCAGTAAGTGCTCTGCTAATTTTTACAGACCTGACTCTAAATCTAATATTTTTACGACCTATTAATGCTTGCATGCTATAATTCAAACCATGTTAGTTTACTATCAAGATATATTGTGAAGTTTTTAAAGAGTCTACAACTGATAAAAAGATCTGAAGAATCTTGAATTGAAAGCATGCACATTCAAGAAAGATTTCTTAACCAAATTGCTAATGGTGGAGGTGGCGATTGTGAAGATACAGGTGAAGACCTACAACAGAATACCAGCCCTCTGGCTTGTTTTCTATTTCTTCTGTCTGCCCAGGTCTCTCATAGCTGAGCCTGCAGACTCATCTTTGTACTAGTCCCAGATTAATTTGTATTTGAGGAAGGAGGTATTTAAACAGCTTTGTAAGTATTTTACCAACTGCCTCCATGTCCACCCCTAAATACAATATACCTCAGGACCTTTACAGCTAAGATTGGATCATTGAAGCATAGTCCTAAGCCACCTAGAAAATAGGGCTGTATTCTCCTTTGTATAAGTTCCCAGGCTAATTTCAAGCCAGTTGCCTAGGTTTAAGCTGTATAAGAGTACCTATCTAATTTCCCCTTCCTTCTGTTGACACGTGAAAGCCTTGTCTGTTCTTTCTGACATCCAACCCCCACCAAACAAACTACTGAGCTCAGTGGACTTACAGCCACACAGCAGAGCCTTCTGTCCTACAGAACAACTTTCAGCCCAACAACTGCTGGATATTCCCCATTATTTCAGCTAACTACTTGCCTGAACTTGCCCCTGTCAGATAAAGCACACAGCTGCCTCATCAAACCTCCTACATTCCCTAAGAGAAAGGTCCAGTGCTCAGCCCTATGTCCCCATTTGTGGCACACCCTGGTTTGCTGTCAGTACACTGCTCTGTCTTGTTGAGGAATCTGAAACAGCACAAAAGCAGTTTGATTTCACTGGCATTTACTGAATATCTACTGTGATGCAGTCACCGTGCCCAACACGGGATAAAACATGAAAAAATAGAGTCTCCAACCATGAGAGATATACATTTGCCTATTTTTTAATTTAATGAATTTTAAAAAACAAAATATTTTTCTGGCTGGGTGTGGTGGCTCATGCCTATAATCCCAGTACTTTGGGAGGCCAAGGTCGGAGGATTACTTAAGTCCAGGATTTCAAGACCAGCCTGGGCAACATAATGAGACCTTGGATGGATGGATAGATAGATAGATAGATAGATAGATAGATAGATAGATAGATAGATAGATAGATAGATAGATAGATGACAGATAGGTTCTTTTTAAAAACTAGTTACTTACAAGGTAAGGATGGAAATAAAATGGACAGGGTGGATGATACTTAGAATCTGAACTTCCTTGAATATACATTGTTTCATTAATTTTGATTTTAAGTTTGTACATAATTATAAAAGTCACACTTGGGAGGAGGGTAAGTAATCCCTAAAATCTAAAGCAAACGAATCATTTAATAAACGTGTGTTTTCAGTTAACAGCATCAGCACACAATATTTCATGCATCTTTAATACAAAATGATTTGACTTTATATATCTATTATGATATACTCTAAGCAGAGAAGAATTGTTTTATAAAATTGTTGGTAGTAGCATTTGTGGTGTTCTTTGAGTCTTGTATGTGTGTTATGTAATTTAAAAAGAAAATAAAGTATTATACTGGTATCTTCCAGCATAGAAAAATAAAATACAGATTTAAGATTAATAAAGTAGAAATCCTACAGTCCTGAATTTAAGTCGGAAGCAACTGTATGCACTCATGATTTATTTTATCTTTTAAAAACATACATATTTCTGAGTTCTGTCTACTAAGAGAAAGAAAAAAGAAGGAGGGGCTTGAGGATGAAGCAGATAGGTAGATAGGGAGATGGATGGATGGATGAATGGAAAAATAGATGATGGACAGACAGACATAGAATATCTGTATGTACAGGTCCACACTCTCCCTTATGGACAATTCTGAAATCTAAAACATTTAAAAAAATAATATTTGCTATTCATTTGTTAGTCAACTTAAAATAAATTGCCATGAAAAAATATACACTCACTACAGACACATTAATTGTTTCATAATGAATTGCTGACCTCAAATCGCATTTGGAATTTATTTAACTTTTAGAAATCTAAACATTTTTCAATTACATAATACAGCTGCCCCAAAAAGGTGTGATAAAGGACTTTGTAGACTTGTGTTAACATGAAAAGGGTCTAAATAGTAAGTAAATAAAGTAAGTTACCAAATATTGTGTACTGTATGATTTCATTTGTAAACACACTATCATTAATTAACATGTGTAATCAAATAGGGGAGGAAACTAAAGGCTTTATTTTAAATAGTAGTCACTGGAGAACAGCATCTAGGGACTTTCAGTATAAATGTTGCATGTTTCCATTTTTCCATATTTTATCAGTATGTATTACTTTTTATTTAAAAAGCTATGGTTTATAATTTAAAACAAAAAAGCTCTCTAAAATGCACATAAGATATACTGAATTTTTCTAAATGAAGGAACAATATTGAAGTAAAAGCAATACCTCCTCTCTATTAACTACGCAAACATGGCTGACAAAATACCATGTTGCATAATTGTTTTTTGTTACAACATCCAAAATTATATTCCTTAACCTAACAAAGAAGTTCTGAGCATATAACACGCAAACAGTATTTTAAATATCAAAAATGTATCAGGGAAAAGATAAAAAACAGTACACAGAAAATCCTGCCTTCTTCTATTTTATGCATTTTCAAATTCAAGTATGCATATATTTCCTTTTCCCCTAAATAATTAGAATTGAATCCTTATGCCAGTTTCCTCTTTTGGTAAATATAGATAAATGATAATAATAACAACCACTAAAGGGTTATGAGAATTAAATGAATAACAAATTAGAAACCTTGCTTTCATGAGTGCCTAGCACTTGCCAAATGCTCAATAAATATTAGCTGCTTTTATTATTAATAATTTTGTTATTGTTGTTTTATTCAAAAGACTGTTACTGCTCACTATGCTTTGAGGAACTGTATCATGGAAGAAGCTTTGAAATGCTCACTGCACTGTTTTCTATGTTTGATGAGACAACTGTGTCTTAATTGTATTCAGTGTGTTACCTTTATAATGAGATTTTTTTGAGGGGCAGTTTCATATAAAAGTTTTCATTACAAATCAAACTTTTAAAACTTGAAAACTGACTTTTTGTCTCTGTAAAAGTTAGTCACTTAACACATTGTCTTGGATTCTATGTTTATAAAACAAATTTCTTTATAATAATATATAAACATTTCTTAATAGAAAGCATCATAAAAATATAAATTGCCTTGTTTTTAAATACCAGTGGTTTAATATAAAAATGCTTTTTGCACCAGATACCTCACTCTCACTGTCATGAATAAATTGTCAATATACAATCATACGAAGAAAAAACAGTACAGTAGAGCAAGTCTTAAGATCATAAAGACTTAAGAATAGGTAATTTAGCACAATGGAGTTCATTCTAAAACATAATCTTGATTACAACTATAATTCTATCCTAATATAAAGAAGAATTTTAAGCTACATGGTTTTTAAATATCCATTACTTACCCTTTTTCATATGTGAATTCATCTTTCAGAGAATTAGCTGATGATTCACCAATGAAGACAGATGGAATGTCAATTTTCTTTAGCACATCAACTGTATAAAAGAATAATAAAATTATTCTTAAAAGCCCATACTTAGTGTACAATCAGCTTATATTTCTTCATAGTAGCAGCAAATGTAACTGGAAACAATTACAATCAACCTTAATTGTCTATTGGCTGATTTTCCAGATTGCAGATTATACTCACTATCAAAGTGGATAAGAAACATTATAACATGTACAATAACAAAGCTAACATTTTTGCATAGATACATTACCTCAATACTCTTAACAGTCCTATGAAATTGAGACATAATTTATATTTTTAGTATTTCCATTTAATTTATTTCTCTACAGACATAACTAATTATTAGAAAAAGAATATAAGAAAGAATTTTTAGGTTTTCTTCCCACACGTAACTCCTAAATGAAAAAGAAAAAAGCTTATTTTTTACATACCCATTTCCAGGAGAGATATAAGCCAGAGAATGTAAGAAAAGACTACAACAGTCTAAAAAGATAACACTGAACCTCTCTGGCTTTGCAGACTGAAAGGCTGACAGGAGTTGAGAAAGGGCACAGGGTAGGTAAATTTCTACTTCCTCCTAAGTCTGGAGTTCATGGTAAAGCTTTGTGTTTTGATTTGGTGTCTTAAGAAATTTGACTCTTAGTACCATATTCAAAACTAAAATCAAATGCCACCCAAAAATAATTCTGCAAAAATTACCCATTACTGAGAAATAGAAATAAAAATTATCTCCTTAATGTTGCTTATAGAAAACGTAGTCTTATTAGCTGTGAGTTAACTTAACAGATTTCTTTTGGGAAAGTCCATTTGTTTTCTTTTGCTATAGTTGTCAAAATGACTTTGTTCTACATTATAAAAATAATGCATATTCAATATGCGTTTTAAAAGGGGAAAGGAGGCCAGGCTCGGTAGCTCAGCCTGTAATCCCAGCACTTTGGGAGGCCGAGGCGAGACATCTGAGCCCGTGGGTTCGAGACCCGCCTGGGCAACTTGGGGAGACCCCATCTCTACAATAAATAAAAAATTAGCCAGGCGTGGTAGTGCGTTTCTATAGTTCCAGCTACTTGGAAGGCTGAGGCAGAAGGATCGTCAAAGCCCAGCAGGTGGAGGCTGCGGTGGCTGGGAGTGTGCTATTACACTCCAGTCTGGGTGACAGAGTGAGACTCAAACTCAAAAAAAAAAAAAAAGAAAGAAAACTTTAAAAGGGGGAAGGAAGCCGCGCTCGGTGGCTCAGTCTGTAATCCCGCGCCTTGGGAGGCGGAGGTGAGTGGATTGCCTGAGCCCGCGGGTTCGAGACCTGCCCGGTCAACTTGGCGAGACCTCTCTACAATAAATCAAAAAATCAGCCGGGCGTGGTAGTGCACGCCTGTAATTCCAGCTACTCGGAAGGCTGTGGCGGAAGGATCGCCGGAGCCCAGCAGGTCGAGGCTGCGGTGGCCAGGAGCGGCCACTGCACTCCAGTCTTGGCGACAGAGTGAGACTCCAACTCAAAAAAGGGGGGGGGGGCGGGAAGAAAGTAAAGAAAAAGAAAACAAAACACAATAATAATCCTTCTCGCTCAAAGACAAACGTTTTATTTGAAGTAAAAAACAGTTCTGTAAGTTCTGACAAATACACACAATTATAACCACTACCACCATCACAATTAAGATACAGAATGTTCCAATACCCTCATTCTCCTTTACAGTAAATGCCTTCCCCTAAACTCAGCAACCACTGATCTATTTTGTTGGGGTTTGTCTTTCCTTATAAAGACAAGTTTCAAAATCTTGGTATCCTTGGTAATTTTTTTCACTTCCCAACGCTCACTCACACTCACCCCCCCTACAAACACGCTTTCTCTTTCTCTTTTTTCTCTTATACACACTATGTAAGGCCCAAAGTCCCAGGAATATAGAAGCCAACATAGTCAAGGAATTATATTCTATATTTTTATCAATTCAATTGATACTTTTATATCAATGGGATTATATAATAATAGAAAAAAGTGTAAGGTTTTTTTCTACTCAATGATATCCTGTCATATCAATAAATATATATCTACCTTATCATTTAGTTTTTTTAAAGACTAGGTTTCACTATGTTTCAACTTTGCTAAGAGATTTTTCTCTACCACATATCAGTTTGAAATGTATTTTATTTGACACTTAAAACCTGGAATTACATATCCTTTGTAAGATGCTTTTATTCTTTAGCAAAGATACTATGATAAACTCAAGGAGGAATTTTTGGTTTGTAACTACTGGCTTATTATTACTGGAAGTGACATAACTTATTTGAGTTATGGTATCTAAAGCGATGTAGAAAGCTCCTTACTGTAATAAGGTAATTAAGAAGAAGGAAGTAAATGCTGTATACAAACACGAGTAACCATCTTGTAGACTGCAACATTATTCATCTACCAAAAACAAAACCAAACAAGTTCTCGTTCACAAAATACTTTTAAACACTACATTTCAAGCCGGGCTCGGTGGCTCAGCCTGTAATCCCGTGCCTTTGGGAGGCTGAGGTGAGTGGATTGCCTCAGCCCGCGGGTTCGAGAACCACCTGGGCAGCGAGACCTCATCTCTACAATAAATCAAAAAATCAGCCGGGCGTGGTAGCACATGCCTGTAATTCCGGCTATTTGGAAGGCTGAGGCGGAAGGATCACCGGAGCCCAGCAGGTCGAGGCTGCGGTGGCCGGGAGCGGCCACTGCACTCCAGTCTGGGCGACAGAGTGAGACTCCAACTCAAAAAAAAAAAAAAACACTACATTTCAATTCTGATCTGCAAAACACCTCTGTGAAGTACATACTGCCAAACAATATTACCATAATATCACGATAAATGATCATTTGAATAAGCCAGCCCCAACCTCTCCAGATTCAATATCCAATTGCCTATTCCATGTCTCCATTTGACTGTCTAATAGATGTTTCAAACATTATGTTTTCAGATAGAATTCTAAATGTCTCTTTTCCCTCAACCAACTCTCCTCATTCTCACCTCTGTATACAGCAAGACCATTCACCTAGTCTAAACACCTTGGAGTCAGCCTTAACTCCTCCCTTTCCCTTACTCTCTATATCAAATCCTGTCAACTTCAAAATACATCCATAATCCTACCACTTCTCATCCCTTTGACAGCTAATACCCCAAACCACCATCGCTCTTATCTGGCTGCTCCAGCAGTTTTCTAAATGGTACCTCCGTTGGCATTCTTGTCCATCTCTCACCTTCAGCCTACTCTCCAAAGAATAGTAAAGGTGCTCCTTTTAAAACATGTCATATCACCTCATACCCCTGTTTCAAACCTACTTAAAATAAATAATAAAGTCTTTATCAAGGTCTACGAGGCCCAACATGATTTGGCCTCTGGATCCTTCTCTAGCCTCATTCTCTGCCACTCTCTCTTGCTCACTACTCCAGTCCCTGTGGCTTTAGCTTTGAGTTTTTGAACTTGCTGTTCCCCTACCCTTGGAATACTCTTCCAGAAATCTACATGACTACAAGCCTCAGCCTCTTACTTTAGACCTATGCCCAAATCTCAATACTTCAAAGAAGCTTATCTAAAACAGTCACCTTCCTCTCGTCCCTGTCATTCTATATCCCTTTATCCTGATATGTTTTTCTTTATAGCACTTCTCACTACCTGTCATTTTAGCACATCTATTTGATAACGTGTTCATTTCCTCTCTCCCACCCTACAATGCAATAAAATAATAATAACAAACATAGTAATAGCTGCTGGGCATGGTGGCTCACACCTGCAACCCTAGCACTTTGGGAGGCAGAGGTGAGAGGATTGCCTGAGTACAGGGGTTCAAAACCAGTCTGGGTAACTTGGTGAGACCTTGTCTCTAACAATTAAAAAAAAAAAGAAAAAGAAAAATTAGCCAGGCATGGTGGCGTGCACCTGTAATTCTAGTTACTTGGAAAGTTGAGGTAGAAGAATTGCCTGAGCCCAGTGGGCTGAGGCTAGTGACCGTAACCATGCCACTGCCTGCCATGCCATGCCAGCCTGGGCGACAGAGTGAGACTCTACTCAAAAATAAAAAAAAATAGTAATAATAGTAATAGGCGAACAACCATTACTAAGAACCAGGCAATCTTATAGATGCTTAAGGGGCCTTAATTCACTCAGTTCTCACAGCAACCCAATGAAGTACTATTTATCATCTCCATTTTACAGATCAGAAAACTGAAACACAGAGATAGTACGTAATGTACCCAAAATCACACAGCTACTAAGTGGTAGAGCTGGTATTCAAACCTGGCAGGCAACACCCAGAAAGCTGTCTCCTAACTACTGTGCTGTACTATGTCAATGGGAGAGAAGAAGGCAGAGCCTTTGTATCATTCCCTGCTACAGTCACAGTGCCTAAAACAGTGCTTGATGCAAAGCAGGCTGTCAAAAAACATTTACTGAAGGAAGACTTGTTTTAAGTAAGGGGAGAAGAAAGACTCAGAGATATTGATAACCTGCCCTGGTTACACAGTTAGAAATGTGTACAGCCTGGGCTCAAATTTGAGGTGTCTTCCTTCTTACCTAGGCTCCTCCCACTCAGAGATGGCATGGTTTTTCTCACACACCTTCTCTTGCATGATCTTCACAAATTTGTCAGTTTAATAAAAATTAAAATTATTCACACTTTTATAGATGAAAATAGTGGGCTTGGAAAGATTAAGTAACTTTCCCAAGGGCAGAGGCTAGTTCATATATTAACTAAACTGGAATAAACCCATGTTTCTTGACTCTAAGGTTGGTGTGCTCCCTACCACCTTCTGTTACCTCCCAAAGTTAAAGAGTGTAATTGTCTCACTGAGCTAACCCATCCTGTCTCCTGGCTGAAATTAAAATGGCCATATTCCTGTGTGAAGTGTCAGCAGAAGGGGGCTTTTAAAACCTCTTTTTATTTCCAGACATTAGAATTTCCACTCTTAGGAGAACACCAATATTTCTTGCAGCTAGGGATTAGGCCTTGAAAAGAAGGAGAGATAAAAGTCCCCTTGGGATATACCCATGCTTTTCTTTCTTCTACCAAATAACAGCAAAGATGAAAATGGTAAAGATCTTCACAACATTTATCTTTGCATATATGAAATGTTTAAACACACATAGATGCCTGAGTATTGAGCAAAGTTTCCTAGAAAATAACCTAAGCAATACAGTCAAGAACCAAAATTCTGAGCAGTCTCTGAACCATAACAACTCAGTTGGAACATTTCCATGGAAACAGCAGAATTATATGGTTACGCGCTACTTTTAATATTTAGCACATTCTCTTTAGGAATTGACATGATTACTGTCAAATCTGCAGTACCAACAGTACTAGTTTATTTGATAAATAAACTCCATTCATCAGAGTCCTATAATTCCCATGAAGTAGTTGTCAAACTATTCCTGAAATGCTAGAACTTCTTAGGGGTATTTAATCAAGGTTTTTATAATATCATAAAGACTAAACAGGTGTTAAAAGGAACTGACAATTTCAATTTGCAAAATGTTTTATTCAAAACATGTTAAAAGAATAAACAGTTTTTACAAATAATAGTTTGTTCAATCCAAAACATATTTAGCCCATGAGACAGTCTTAAGGGTTTGCCAAGGGTGAAACACAAGTAACTAACGGCAAGTAAGTAATTTGATCAAAAGTATACAGCCAATACAAGTAGGAGTCTGAATTAGAATTCAGGACTGTTTCCAGAGTATGCATGATTTTCATTTTGCCAATAATGTACACAGATTTAAAAAGTTACTGCCCTGGGATGTAACAGCAGGGATAATTTTTTTCTTTTAAAGCGAGGTAGAAGAAGGAGGAGAAGAAAAATGTGTCAAGTCTGTAATACCAACAGTACTAGCTTATTTGATAAGTAAACTCTATTCATCAAGTAAGACCTATAATTCCCATGAATGGGAATGCTAGAACTTCTGAAATGCTAGAACTTCTTATGGGTATTGCATCAATTCTACAATCATGAAGATTTAATTAACTAGGAGATTAAAATAACAATTTAAACTATACAAAAATTAACTACAGAACTCATTAATAAATTTCACTTTTTATATAATTTTGCCTCATGATATTGGGGTAAGAAGGACAAGCAACAACGAAAAAAACACTGTAAAAGGCTATAAAAGATGACTTTTTGGTCTTACACGGAATACAAAATATTTCTTACTGAGGATGTCGCTATTTAAACCCCAAGCATATTCCAATGTATTATATCAATCCATAGCTTTATGTCTGCTCTTTGCTCTGAGTTCTACCTTGAATATGTGAATTGATAGAACTTAGTAGCAAAAGATATGGTGGGTTATGTACTAAAAGAAAAATAAACAAATAAAAGATCTCTGAATCAGGAATGTTGGCAGAGAACCATCCTAATAGCAATTAGAAAGATTTTTATGAAACCCACAGTGCTCTGGGTGATAGAAACTACATTAAGTGAGGCATACAGTTTAAAAGTCAGTGTCTGAGTATATAACTAGTTATTTCACAGAAACTGGTTCATTTTTCCTACAAGCTACTATTTAGTAGAGAATAAGGAAAGATAGTCCCATTTTAAATGAAAACTATGAACATGCCAAGGGCTAATGACCAGTGAGTGTAAGAAAGCAGAAGTATATGTGTTGAAACTCCACCAGGTTACAATGACTACTTAGCAAATCTGCACACACCAAAATGTAATGTTGTGAATCTCTAAATAAATCACAAAAATACTTCTATGGCATTCTTATCTCAGCATGTTTATCTCTATTTAAAGTTTTATTTTCCCTTTGTTTTTTTACCAAAATACCAATAAATAAATATGTTTTAAAAAACTAACATATGTTAAAAAAATAACTTCAGAAAAGAACAAGTCATTTCTACTTCTATTGTGAACAAAATTCTTTCACAAGAATTGAGAATTAGGAAATATCTGATAGAGAAGAAATTTTTCTTTTTAAAGAGAAAATGAGAGAAGGAAAATCCTTTTAATGTTTAGTTACAAGTAATCTGTCAAACAGGAGAGAAGAAAAGTGATACCTGTACTTACTGTCGTTGGATCCCATGCTAATGAGGTCATCAGAATCAACATTGTGAACTATGGCTGCTTTGTATCCTGCTCTCTGTGCATTTAAAACCTACAAATTAAAAAAAGTCATGCCATAAGGAAGATCATGGTTTATCATGTCCCTCAGCTTCAATAAGTATAAATCAACAAGCCTATACTATATACCTAGGACTAGATTAAGTACATATATATGAATAAATCTCAGGTATGTTCTTGAAACATATGGATGTTTTACAATTGATTATCAAGGAATTATTGAAGCAAATAAAGTATAGTGATACAATCTAAAACATTAAAAGTACTCAAAGCAACAAACCCGTCTATAGCTCTAAAGAGGTAAAGACCTGCTGTGATCAAGCTCAGGAGTCATCAGACCTCAGGCATTCAGATCCCCCCTCTGTCACTCATTAGTGGGATAAACTTGAGCAAATTACTTCTTTTTGAGTCCTCAGTTTCCTAAACCTCAAAATGGGAATGACAATAATATTTTTCTCATATGTAAAATAACACTTTAAAAATGCTTAATACCATGACTAACACAAGAAATGAGTCAAATAAAAGCAACTCATGTTATTACCTTATTCATCCACAATGTTCTTTAAAATTCTTTCCTAAAGCTTTGAAAACATTAAAAATATCTGCAGCTTGAAGTTGCTTACTTTGATTCTATCTAGCTATTTGATCTTTCCTAAAGTTAGCTTCCAAAATAGTAACCTTTGCACCATAAGAATATGGCTGGATGTGTGACAGAATTTCTTACATGAAAGATCTGAAAAGTGTCCAAACATGTTATTATACCTCACTTTAAAAGTAACAATTTGCTATAAATAAAAATAAATCCAACCTAAGCAAATTATCATATGACCTTTAGACCATTAGTAAAAATGAAAGATCAGATCATTATTCGCATATTTGTTAAATAAAATGAAAACTGGGTAGACAAATATACTTATGTAGTTTTGAATACTTAAAATACTTTTAGGCCGGGCTCAGTGGCTCAGCCTGTAATCCCAGCACTTTAGGAGGCCCAAGCAAGTGGATTGCCTGAGCCCGTGGGTTCGAGACCAGCCTGGACAACTTGGCAGGAACCTTGTCTCTACAATAAAAAAAAAAAAAAAATTAACTGGGCGTGGTAGCACGCGCCTGTACTTCCGGCTGCTTGGAAGGCTGAGGCAGAAGGATCACCGGAGCCCAGCAGGTCCACGCTGGGGTGGCCGTGAGTGTGCTACTGCACTCCAGCCTAGGTAACGGAGTGAGACTCCAACTCAAAAAAAAAAGAAACTTTTGGATATAATTGGGTATAGTTTTGAATATGTGTTTTAAAACATATAGCTCAGAAAACCTGAAATACTTGTGCATATATTAATAATACTTCTAAACACCAAATATGGTAAGAAACTCTTAAAATACATTACCTTATGATCACTGCATAGTGGCATGTCTCTCAAAGTATTTCTTTAATACGTATGCTCTTAAGAAATAGGTGAATTAATTTTTGAAAGAATTTCCAGGTCTAATATTCGTTCTGTCTTAGTTATCATTATAAATGATTCAAAACTCTGCTATAATTCAAAAAACTAAAAAGTGAGTCAAGTTCCAGATAATCAGGGAAAGCCCAAAGAGTCAAGTTCCCCACAATAAAAGGAATGCCAAATAATTCAGACTCCAGTTCTGAAAGCTAGGCAGGAGAAACAAGGCACAGGCAAACAAGCCCTGTCACACAAGCTGGCTTTTCACAGGGAAAAATCCTCTCTTACATTATCCTTGACTTCCCTAAAATTACCCCACCAATGTAAGCAGAACTTCTGAAAGAAACAATATGAATAAATCAGAATACGTTTATCCTATTACTGAAAAAATCTAAATCTACATGAGATCTGACTGCTTCAAGAAATTAATATTGTGTTCATCTTTACCGTCTCCATAGCACCTATGAAACAGCCTGACACAGGATAGACATTTATTAAATACTACTTGAATAAATTAAACGTATTTTAACATGTGTTTAAATTAATAGTTCACATTTAACATAAAAACGAGAAAAAATGAGGTTGAAAGAGATTTTTTAAAAACTAAAATAATACAAATTGTTCACTGACCCAGGTCCTACTGCTCTAATGTTAAGAACAATGGCAAGAAATCAACCAGGCAACAAAACTGTGACAAGAAGTGTTTTGTAGCTGTGCAAAGAAAGGACAATAGCCAAGAAAGTAAGTTTACTAACTTTGCATGAATGTATATTTTATTTTTAGGTGGATTTTGTTATTCTTCTAAAATTGAGAAAATGTCATTCCCCACAGATATCACTGCTTTCCAAAGGGAGAAAAAAAAAACTCCCAAGAAGGATATTATAGTTTCTAAACTTTATTTCTTATTTGTTACATATACTATCTTACTATTTATTCACTATATTACCATAGCAGTACAAGATTCATTTGGCTTTTGTTTAAACAAAAGTATATTTGCCTGGGGTTACTATGAGTTTGCATGATGTTTTAATGACCATTTTAAGAGTTTCCCAAACACTAACCAAATAACTGAGGAGAAATGTTTCTTGCCACATCCAAAAGGCAACTGTTGCCAAAGATATAATTTAAGTAATATAAAATTAGATAATATCAAAAGTTGTTTCCTGCTAATATGAAACTTAAGTTTTAAACTTCTTTTTAATACCAACTAATGTACATAGTCATTGAAATTACACAATTTAACTCTTTTTCTGTAGATAGATATGTATACATATATACATACGTGTGTGTGTGTGTGTGCAAAGATGCAACATGTCAAGACATAGGAAAGGTGGTCTCAGGAACCATAATAAAGAGCAAAAACTTGTTCAATTCAACAAGTATTTGCTGAGCTCACATGATAAGATACTGCGTACATGCTGTACACAATGCAGAATTCAAAGGCAAATCAGAAACAGTCATTGGTCTTAAAGAAATATCAATATTCATGGATGTCCAAATCCTGTGTATGTACTCATACTGCCATTTCTGCTTGAACTGGCTTTCCTGTCAGGACTTCAAATTCCATCACCATAAAGCATCCTATCCCCTGTTAAATATGTATCCACATTAACCGCTCCCTGCTTAGAGTGTTTATATCAATCTGTGTATATTTTTATTCAAGATCTTATATAGTGCCTTAAATTATAAGTATAATACATGCACTATACCATTTCCAAGGTAGGCCTTAATGAAGTTCTATGTATAAATTGTCTATGTATAAATTTTCTGGTGAGAAAAGACAAAGTAATCATCAATTTCACAAGAGGCTTTCTCACTCCCAAATTATTAAGAACCATCAATATCAATGGATGGATTTACAACAAGCTATTATATGTGCAATTACATATAGCCATTAGGTTCTTAAACTTGTACCAAGCAACTGAAGAGAACTATTTCTTTCACCATCCCAAATGCACTTGTTTCCATAAATACAAAATAAAATTATATCAATATCAAAACCTGTTTTCTTCTATGCAATAATGAAACTTCTAAAATAGAACACTTGAGAAACCACTAAAATGGGAATAAATTCTGTAAGCATAAGTGTCAGCTCCAAAAAAATAGAAGCATGTTTTCAAAAATTTAACAAGTATAAAGGCTTCCACAAGGTTTTTGTTGTTTATATTGATTTTTAAAATAAAGAAATAAAATTAAGTCAAGGAATACATTAACATATGGACCAACAGGCTTATGAATACAAACAAGGAAAATATATCCATATTTATGAACTATAAAACTCATGTGTCAGTCAAATTAAACTACATTTTCAACCAAGCAGCAGCTGGTATTTTTAAGAACACATGAGGCAGAAATAAAACTTAAGTCATTTAGCAAGCATGTGCAAGGTTTCACATTCATAAAATGCAACCTCAAATACATGGTGTCAGATGGAAGCAAAGAACTCAAAGATTCAGTGAAAAAAGCATGCACAATGAACAAACTTAAATTTAAAACAAACATCAAAACTGAAAACTGCATTTAAAAGCCTTCTAAAGTGTAGGCAGTCTGCCTTTTTAAGAAGACTTATCAGAGCTATTAGTTCAAAATGTGGTAAATGCACTGAATATTTTACATTGAATCAACAAACTAGATGCAACTAAATTATGTAGACCAGGTGGCACCTAACCAAGAGTGTTGAAAAACTATGGGACAGCTGACTTGCTATTAGAAATAGCAACTAAGGCAGAAGATAGCTGACTGCTAGTGAGATAGTATGCAGTAAGACAGGTTCTAAAAGGAACACTGAGAATGACCCTCTTCAGCTTATTTCCAGACTGGACAAATCGATATGAACACTCATAAAACATGCCTTATAAGAAGTGATTGGGTTGTCAAGAGGATCATGAACAGGGATCTTTTAAAGGACACATAGGCATGAGGAGATGGGGAAACTATTGATAGAATATAGATAACAAGTTCCAGAACAAAGCCTAGATGAATAAACCTCTGTGTGCTAACGCTTTATATATATTTTGCCTGATACTCATCACAACTCTACAATGTAGAAATTCTTTTCTATATTTTAGAAATAAGGAAAGATGAGTAAGTGAAACTACCCTAGGGTCACACTTAGGCAGAAGTGAGATTTGACACTACTTTATCTGATTAGAGAAGCGTGGGGTTTCCCAATGGATCAGGATGAAGTCAGAATTACCAAACTTATATAACCTTTTACAAATGTCTAGGAAGAAGAATTGAACTCAGAAAGCATCAAAATGCATATAACATTAAACTTAAAATCCTGTGGGCAAAGCAAAACTGCACAAGCCAAGAAGAAACGTTAAAATACTGTGGTAGAGTTGATAGAAACTTAGAGGGGAAAAAGCTGTGGGATGATATACCCAGGGAAGATTTTATCAGACTTGAATCACACTCCAAAAGAGGAAATTTTGGTTAACAGTGGAAAAAGTTGGGGAAAATTTTTCACATGGGAAAAAAAGAAAAATAACAAGACAATGGCATATTAAAAGGCAGATTCAAAACAAAATAAAAAGTACAAAGCATGACTTGACTTTAAAAATAGTGATACTAAAAAGCAGAACAGCATTGTAGTTAAAAG